TTTGTTGTACCAAGATGGTTCAAAATGTTGTATTTTTTTAGAAAACTGTCACATCTAAAAAGTTTAAAGAACAATTTGTTTGTTTCCAACGTAAATTTTACTTTATCATTAAAAGCAATACATTTTTGTATTAATTCATTAATTTGGTTTTGAGGTAGAAAAACAAAGGTGTCTACAACGTAACGTGCATAATAAACGAAGATCACTTAAGAGTTGTTATCCAAGGTATCTCATCACAATTTCGGAACGTATTGAATTGAATTGAATTGATGCCTTATTACAGGAGTATTATATAAAGTAAGAAGCTGATTCGACTACCGAACGGTGTATCTTCTAACTGACGGGAAACATTCCCATTAAATTGAAATTCCATATTATTTAAAATCATTTTGAGTGTTATAACAACTTCATTTGCCGGGGTCTTAAAGAAATCTATAATCAATAAAAAAATAATTCAATACTTCTTCTTCTTCTTCTTCTTAAAAAGTCTAAGACCTTGTCTAAATTCTTGTACCTTTCCAAGAATTACAACGAGTCTTTCCATCTTCTACTTTGCCAACTTCTCTTCTACCCCTCGGCCTTTCGTCCCTTGCAATCCTCACGATTCTTTTCTCCTTCATTCTCTCAATATGATCGTTCCTTTCCTTTCTTCAGTCCGCTACCCATTTCGTAATGTGCTCAACTATGCTCATTTCCCTGATGTTTTTGTTTATTTCCTTATCCAGTAGAGTGTGATTTGAATTTTTTTCTAAAAACTCTCATTTTGGCCTCAAGTTGTTGTTGGGTACGTTTTGTTTCGCTTCTTGTTTCTCCTGCATATGTTAATATTGGTCTGATTATTGATTGATATATTCTAACCTTCGAGTCCTGTTTTAGATGTTTATTATACCATAGTGAGTAGTTGAGACAGCCAGCGATCCTATTACCTTTTATTATTTGCTCATTGATTTCTTTCTCTGTTTGTCCTGAGTTTGTTAAAGTTATTCACAAATACTTCATCTCTAGAACTTGTTCTATTATTTGATTACTTGATCACTACCAATTTACACCTAATCGGGTTCTTTGCTATTGTCATAGCTTTCGTCTTCTAGGTAGATATTTTTAAATTAAAAATCTTACAAATTTTACTGAATTCGTACAGTAATTGTTGAAGTCATCTTAATTTTCTGCTATTAGCAATGTGTGTGTCGTCTGCATAATATATGGTTTTTATATTATAATTTCCCATACTACATCCTTATTTGTTTTTAGTTAATTTATAATACTCTTCATTATTACAGTAAATAACAATGGGCTCAATAAATCCTCTTGTCTTGTTCCTTTCGATGCAGGTATAGTAGGTCATATTTCCCCCCGTTTCCCCCCCGTTTTTAATATTTATTTTATGTATATATATAGTTTTAAAAGGTTTGAGGGCGCCCTTTCTTGTTTCAATATTGTTACGACATGAATTAGTTTTATATTGTGAAATGCTTTGCTTAGGTCCGCAAAAGATGGGAAAGCTGGTTTGTTAAATTGTAGAGATTTTTCAACGATTTGTCGGATGATACAAATTGTGTCAGTGCATGATCTACCGCGTCTAGAACTCTGTCGTTGTTCTTTCCATTCTATCATATTCATGAGTGTTTACTATATACTTTGTGGGAATTTTCAATGAGCTGCTAAGGAGGTTTATCGCTCTGTAATCATCTGGATCGTGTGGGTCACCTTTCTTAAATAGAGGAATAAGAATGCTTGATTTACATTCCTTTGGTATTGTTGCATCATTAAAAATTGTATTAATAAGTTTGGTTATGTCTCTGCATAAGGTTCTTCCTCCATATTTAGTGACCTCATTGTATATTCCTTCCTCTCCTGGTGACTTCCGATTTCTTAGTGTTCCGATTACTTTTGATACACAATGATGTGTATTTCTTCACATTATACGCACTGTTCGTTTGATGTAAAATCTTCCACCGAGTCTTTTGTCTCCGGAGAGTCATCGTGGAGTAGTTCTCTAAAGTATTTTATCCATGTTTCATCAAATACTTTCTATGAGCTAATGAGTTCATTTATCTGTCCTCTGGCCTCTAATGAATCTCCAGATATCTTTCCAAAGCTTAAAATAATTAAATCATGAGGGGTCGAAGGAAATATTGTGACGTCCAAAGATACCACCCTTGAATTGGAATCGATTCTCGCAACTGACTGACATTTAGAGAAAATTTATAATTATTATTCATGAAAGGTTTAAATAGTGAATTTAAAAATTTACAAATGACATAATCAGGAGTACTTACGGCAGGGCGCATCGGAAAGACAGTTTAATGGACTATTATTTGGCCACAAACTAACGCAATATTTGCTGTTTAAGGATAAACCCTTGTATATACTTTTTTAGTTAGGTATGCATTTCTTTCCATCCTTTTAAAACGTCTTACATATTTTACATATAATTGTTAGTAGATAGTTTGCTTGTCTATCAAATTTGTTCTTATCAAAGAAATTTACTTCTACTTTTTGAATATGTTGTTGTTTATTAATAGCTGCATATGCACCCCTTGAATCAACGCGAATAACTTTTATCTCTAAATTATTCATTAGAAACGATCTAGTAAATTGTAAATCTCTGTGTATACAAGCGTCTTGTTTACTTATCTTTGTAGTCGAACTCACATAATTAGATAGTTTATTGGAAAAAGAAGAATGCGATCAATTTCCGGTATTTTGTATAGATTGCGACGGGCAGCCGTCTGGAGTGCTCCGACCAACTGGGGTTTTCAGCATTCGCCGACTCGCTGGACGGAACTTACATCTCACTATGGAGGTTTCCAATACTTTTGAATGTACCCCTAAAGGAGGATCATTGGGCACCAACAGAAAGCTACTTGACCAGGAAGCAATTCGGGCCAACGAGTGTATCTCGAAAGAACGTTCGCCATAGAAATTTAAATATAAATGTTTAATTAAAGACTAAACTTTATAATTAAATTAAAAAATAACAATGAATTTATCTTTACATTTAAATGCCATGATCGGCTTTGCTGTAGTTAAGAATTTCTTTCGTCAACACCAAAAAAGTTCGTCAGACATAATAGCAATCCGTGACACACAGGCCTGAAGCAGGTTCTCGTTGCGGTCGGGTCGGGGTCATGTGCCGGATTGGACGGGGGTGGAGGCTGCACAGCTGGGCGGCACGCGCCCTCGGCTAGCGGGAGAGAATCTGGTTCACAGCAGGGCAATTGGTGTGAGAGTGGCGAGTTTTGTGGATATTGAGTGCGTTCGTTTTTTATTATTAATTTGTCAATGAAATTACAGCCAAAAACCATTCATCCTGGCTATATGTTTTATGGCGTGTATTTCTTTTTTCGTGTTTTCAGGAGTCATGGGTATTGAAATTAACCGATGGCATGGAAGGCTACGTGTTTGTTTGTAGGAAGATGTTGTGACGTGTTGTGTATGATTGTATCCCCCCTCCTCCGCCTCCACCAGCCTTGTGTCTGTCGATCCCACGGCCGCACCGACCCGCCCCCGCCCCCGCACCCGCCCCCACTCGTTTCCGACCGACTGTGCGTCCTCTTACAAAGAGCCGCACTCCAAAATAAACCGCAGAACTTTGATTTCCACCCAGAGATTGCAAGGTATGATCCAGTTTGCTTACGCTTCTGACTTCCTCATATGACGACACCTTTTGTGTATAATTTTTGTAAATAATTTGTATAATTCATATATGTGTATTCCTGTAATTTTTCAGATAGCTCTGATGATGATAGCTACGCTATCGAAGCGATTTCAAGTTAAACTATATTTTCGATGCCGGACCACACCTTTTATGTGCTTGGTTGCCAGAAGGGGCCTATCCGCAGCGGTGGCGAGTGGCGGGTGCCAGGGGCGATGGCGACGGAGCGGCCGCTGTCGGCGCCGGCGCTGGCGCTGGCCGGCCTGGACGAGAGCGACGGAGACTCCTGCGAGCGCTGGGGCAGCGACGGGGGCGGCAGAGGGGCGGGGCCCCGGCCCCGGCGCCGGCCCGCCCGCCCCCGCTCCGCGCGCGACCGCAGCCCTCAGCAGGTGAGGCCGGCCGCGCCATGTGCTCCAAGACGTGCTCTGTACAAACACTATTTTCTATAATGCGTACGTTAGTCATTTGCTATAATTCAATCGATTGATCAAAATGTGTTGGCCCGTTGCCGGCCAAATTACTTCAAATTTGGCGCCTTGGTTTTTTAACAGAGCGTTTGATGTACTTTGAAGGAGTTTCAGAGGAAAGGATTATACATTTTAAACTTGACGCCTCCGAGATAGTCTTAATTTTCCCCCAAAAACCGCGCGAATTTCTTCTCTCTTGATCAAACATTCATTTCTTCGTGCTCTCCCAACTTTTCTTCGACTATTTCGCCGCCTGAACAAAATGTCCCAATTTACTCGGGTATCGCACCAACAACCTCGAATAATCACGGTTTTCATCCTTAAAATTCCATGACCAAAGGCCAAAATTAATTTTCATGAACCCAATAATACGCTCGATCTTGAGAAATTATATTTGATTTTTCTTTTCTTGTGTACACAAGTAAGACAAAGTTGGGAATTCAGCATAAATCGGTGTCCAGATTGTAATGGGAAATGGGTGATTGGGCCTCCTAATACCGCAAAAACCTTTTTTCTTATGACGAATGTTCGTTTTTGAAGAACAGTGAAGAACAGTAGAGAGAATATTGTACACGGTGGCGGCCCATGCAGGTGGTTCACTGGTGCAGTGAAGCCCCATACTATTCTATGAGATAAGAATTAGAGTTAGATTAGAGTGAAGGACACTAATAAAGATGGCGTATGACTTATCTCCTCTGTTTACTCTTAATTTTCAAAAATTAAAAATGTTTGAATTTTGTTTGTTGTCTTTCTACAACTACAATGAAAGTCGTTCTCAATAATTATTTCTTTTATTAACGCCATGTACATTCTTTGAAAATTATAATCGTTTTCGAGCAAATTGGAGTGAAATGTGTAATTGCGCGTGCGCGAGCGCAGGCGCAGCTGCTGCGGCGGCGGCGGCGCATGAAGGCCAACGACCGCGAGCGCCAGCGCATGCACCTGCTCAACGGCGCGCTGGACCGGCTGCGCGGCGCGCTGCCCACCTGCCCCGACGACGCGCGCCTCACCAAGATCGAGACGCTGCGCTTCGCCTACAACTACATCTGGGCGCTCAGCCAGACGCTCAGCCTGGTGCAGCAGCAGCAGCAGCAGCAGCAGCAGCAGCAGCCGCCCCTGGCGCTGGCGCCGGCCGCGGGCGCGGGCCTCACGCTCAGCGTCGGCGACGTCACGGTGCGTGTCACGGGGCGCCTCTGCCTCTGGGCTGCCTGTAACGGGGAGGGCTGACACTTTGCTAGAGTTCGCCTCCAGACAGCGGCAAATTTCCATCTACCTATCCGGCATTTAAGGTTGAGGTTGACTGCCTGAGATGGTTTGGGAGTGAATCGACTAATGTTACTGCAGTACTCTTGGGTCGTAATTTTTCTTTCTTTTTTTTTTTGTTTTGTTTTTTGTGTTGTCCAGCTGGCCTCCTAAAATCAAGTTTTCTATGGGAAAGATTATCAAAATAATACACGTTTTTAACAATATTTAGAGGGAGCGTGGGTGTCTCGAAAATGGCGTTTTGGGGCCATTTTTCATTCACTTTTGTGTGTATATATATCATTTTGTTATGTTGTCACCAGATAACTACATTGTTGATAACTAATATTATGATCTTAAAAAGTTAACATAATATACTGTGAACTAGATATTTTGACCAAAATATTCGACTTTATCGCTTTTCGGGTTTTATCATATTATTATGTTAATTAGAAGTCATTTTACGATTATAATTCCTATCTTTTTACTTCCTCGCTACCTCTTATGCCATAGAGAATGTTATGTAATGCTGCAAGAAAAATGCGGCGAATTTTCGGCAGAAAAACTCTTATTGCCGGGCCCTAGAAACGAAAAATTGGATAAATCCAGTTATTAAATTTAGAAGAAAATCCTCTAACACGTGGTGAAGCTAGAATCCATGTTTTGCGGGTCCTTCATTCCGAAAACTCGATTGAAGGCAAAACGTCCGTCTGTCTGATATATAAGTATGTCCGACCGTCTGTCCGTCTGTCTGTGAACAACGCTATTGGCTAAACTGTTGTGCCCATTTTCTCCGAAACTGATATTTCCTCCTCGATCTGGCTGGTGTTGCGGTCTCTTGTGTTTGAAACAGATATTGTAATTTTTAAGGGTACTTAGCATGGATGTAGTCCCTGGGACATTTTCAAACTTAAAAAATGGCAACAATGTTTTTGTATAAATGTAGTTATTGGATAGTGTGAAGGAAGTTTAAGAGATTAGCGCGGGTCTCTTGTACCTTGAAAACTCTAATTTTTGGGAAAAAAATGTTTAAACAAAGTTAACTACTGGTGCTACAGAATGACACAGACTTTCCCGTATTGGTTTTCTATTTCCGTTGGTCTCGGCTATTCGAACTTGCCCCATCCCCTTGCCAGCTGCCATCTATCGCCGCTCAAAGTAAATTTTTTGTACTTTTCATAATTTTACGGTTTCCCAATAATATAACTGCAATATTATTTTAAGAATATTAAAAAACAGTAAAACCTCTTCCTAAATTGCAATTTTCTTTCAACATTTTTTAAGAAAATGGATATTAAACTTTACTGTAAAATCGAAATTTAAGGTCTTTTTAACAAACATTTTTGAGTTTTCGAAAAACTCCATTTGTTGCCTAGTGGTGATCACAGACTGACAGGCAGACGGACAGACAGAGATAATGTACGATTTGCCGACAATTGTTTTTTTAGTATCAAGGATTGAAAACAGGAATTCTGGCTATACGACATGTTAGAGGTTTTTTTTGTCTTAATTTAGCAACTGGATTTATCCACTTTTTTGTTAACAGATCCGGGAAATGATTTTTTCGTAGAGCATTGCATAACTTTTCCTATTCTACGAGTATATCTCCGTATGAATACAGAGGAGTAAAAATAAATCGTATACCACAATATAACAATCTACTTTACGGCGTAATTAATAACTATTCTGACACTTAATACACTCAAAAATAATTTCCACTTCACTTCGAAGCATTACACTATACTGTACCATTTCTAAATTTTATGTTCAATACTTTTCTCTCTAGACCACCATACATCGTACATTTTTCACGACTTTTTCTTCTCTTCCCTGTCCTTACTTTCATTTCACTTTTCCCCTTTTTGATTCCCTATATTTTCCCCAAAATTTGCCTAAATCCCTGCAATGAGAAAGACGAGAGCTCAACACTTGTCGCAGGCAAGTTGGATGTCCAAAGGCGACGTTTGTGCTGTGCAGGTGAGCATCGGTGCGGATGGCGGCAACTGCATCACGTCGCTGTCGGCGACCAGAGGCCCAGCGCCGCCCGCCTGGGCGTTGGGCGACCACGGACGCGCGCTCGCGGGCGAGGCGCCCGCTCCTGAGGCGCGCCGGGAGGCCCGCGCTGCCCCCCACGCTCCCCGGCCCCGCCCCGCCCCTCTACCACTGCCTCTGAAGAGAAGCTCTTCCAAATTTCCATTTGCCTCCCGGAACAGCAGCGGCATGCTTATCGGGACCTTTCTCTTTGCCAACATTAGCGACGCGAAACTCGAATCACGAAATAACCAAAAGCCTGTTTCCAGAAGAAGGTTCGAGATATGCTTTATGGGATCTTTACAGATTTCTGTCATTCGGATTAATCTAGTCTTGGGATTATTAACCAAACATCAGAGCTCGCAAAGGTGACGCGCGGCAGATGTTAAATCTTCGTGGAGCCTGAAAAGTAAATGATTTTTCTGTGATGAACGGTGGAAGATGTCGGGCGTTCATCATCGCATTAAACAGATACATACTTAAGCAATAGTTCTGATGATTTAAGAAATATGCTTTTTTTATTTCTTTTCAAGATACAGTAGAGAAAATATGAGGATACAAAGCAATAATTTCAATCAATAAATTGCTCATTTACTGATCTACAAATTAGACTACAGAGTATGAAGTGACATCATAATCTTCATTGCTCAGGGAAGAAATAATCGCTTTGTGATAACTGACGTATGTAGTGCAATTGTGATTCTAATCTTTGCCCAGAACGTGAGAAAACTGCATTGGTTGTCGTTCAGTGACTTATACAAACTCAATTGATGATTTCCTCATTTTCAAAAATTTTGTCCTCCAAAGTTGCATAATAATTTGGCATCAATGAAAGAACATTTTCATTGAAATCTCCTTCAGGATTATGGGGATTTGATTCAGTTTTACTCTATCTTCCCTAGTTTCTACTCATGTGTGAGATTGTAACATAGCGGTGAATGATAAGTAGAATATTCTGTTTTTGTGAAATGTAATTTGCTATGATCATGATCCGCTATAACCTCTCTATTTGACTTTCTGATGCGCATTACTCTCAACGGTTGACTCATCCTTAGAGAGAAATTCAACTTGTTTAGCTTTCAATTATTATCTGTTAAAAAGTTATTTATAATCAGTATTTCACCATCCATTTCCATAGCATGAAAGGTGCCTAAAATCCACATCTTCGATAAGCATTTGCAGCTATCGCTTTATAGAATGGGAATTTAAGCGAATTTTTTCCACAAATATAATCTCTTTCGTGGGTCTATTGAATCTAGCATCTAGTGGATTCGAATATTCATTTGGACGTTCACTGGTCTGTTGATATAAGCAGAACGGATCATAATAACATCATCCTAATGTACGTTTCTCAATGAATTGAATTGTTTTGCTGTTTCTTCTAAAAATGTCCCTTATATCATTCTTCAACAAAGCAGCCAACTAATTTCTTTGGTACTTTTAGCTAAGGGTTTACTAAGTGTTCAGTTTTTTAATATATTTCTATTTCCAACTAACAATAATATTCAACTCACAACTATTGTTCCATTTGGTGTCAACAATTGTGCATGCGTTCACCAACAGTAACACACCACCATGCTATGAGTAGTCAATGTTACCTGGGGCTGCTCTAAACAGCCCACGATTAATAATCCTTAAAGATATCTCGCAGCATTTCCATTTAAATGCATTCTTAAATGATATTGCGTATTGCATTCGGCACCTTTTACCTTGAATGAAAGATTGCCGATCTGTTTGATGTTTTTGTCAGGGCGCCCTCCGGTGCTACTAAAGCGAGAAATGATGAAGCACAGATTTCAGAAATCGTTATGTCAATGTAGAGCACACAATATGAAGCTAAGTCAACTTTTCTACCTTTTTCCTTTTCTTTTTGTTCAACTTTTTCTTCTTCATCTTTTTCTTCTCTTTCAGCATGTTCACCACAACTTCAAGTTCTTTTCGATTTTTTCTTTTCTTTTTTCTATTTACTTTCTTCTTCTTTCGTCCCCTTCGTTTTTCTCCTCGGTGCCTTAGGTAAAATAAATGTGTCATAGTTATTGCAGGGACGCTGCAATAAGCACATAACTCATAAATGTCAAGAAAATTGTGTTAAACAAGCCTAAAGCTTAGCTTAATTGAAGACAGCGTGTACGAAACATATTTCTGACAAATTATTCACTATTATTACATATCTGAATGTTTCCTTCTACAACGATTCTTAAATTAATTATTGATTTTTTTGTATTCGAAATATTTGAAACTAATCTGGTCGTAATATCATTCAGAATTATTATTGGATTTGAATTCGATAATATTTCGAAAATTTCCACCTCCCTTTCCTTCCGAAACCAAAGATGAAACTGTGACCAACAACAAACCCGTGTCAGAGGTACAAAAACCTTCGACTTGTCGCAAAACCTCACGATTTGAGCAAAGACATTTATCACAAAGAAGAAGTATGATTAATACATTAAGCATTACGTATACAAAGTAAGATAAAATATACCAAATAGATTGTGAATAAAACGGAAAACTATATTGCATAAATTCAAAACTTCTGAAACATTACCTTCAATAAGAGCTCATATTGAGGTTGTGGATTTTTAATTCGTGATTTTGCAGTGCAATTGGAACTATCATTTTAAGCCTCAATACGTACGGAGTTCAGTGCTCGCTTGGCACATTGTAAATATAATCCCCGACCATAATCACGTGACATCCAGAAGAAAGTCGCGTAGTGGAAGAGGGTGTTTCGGCGGATCCGTGGTAACAATGAAACGTTTCTCCTGCCCCCTTCAGTGCAAGTGGCTGTACTCATTCTATGAATACGCTCCGTCATCCACTTCCGTTGTACAATACGTAAATAACTGTTCTGTAAATTGCCTCCTAGAGAGCTCTCCTAGATGCCAACGAGAGGCAGTCGATGTTAAGGGGTATTCGAAGTGACCTTCGCACAAGGAAATCAATGCGGTAAATAGCATATATTTATAAAAGAAAACACTTTTATTTTTCTTTGCATGTTATTTTAACATTTCCTTGTTAATTTTCTGCCAACAAACTACTTGTTTACAAGTGTTTGGACATTCGTAAATTAGCCACAACGTATGTTATAAACGCTATTTTATCACCTTTTATCAACTATTGCATATATTCTTAAACATATGAAGACGTTTTCGTAATATGATGATAGTGTTTTGCAAGTGAAAATAAATAACAAGCAATGACATCAATTTCTAGTCTTATATAAATATTCTAGTCTATTACCAATGAATATATGTGACGTTTATTTGCTGTTATTACTTCATTTCAATTTTATTTATTTCAATTTTTATTTTATGTACCCAAGTATTGTTTTTATTTTTGTAAATTTTTCATTTTTAGTGCAATTATGTGTTTACTGAATATATTAAGTAGTTCTAGTAATTTCCTAATATGTTAAAAGATAACAAATAAAGTAAAAAATATTGTAAATATATTTTAAAATAAATGTTTTTAATTGCATTTGAAAATATATATTATTGTAAGTACTTACAAACTCTCATACACATCAATAAGTATATTATCTGTGTACACCGTTAATATAAATAATCCTTCAGTTTTGAATTATCCTCTGTAATTGTGCATAATGATAGAAAAAAACATAAACTTGAAACTTTATTGTGAAACATGAAAATTTTACTGATTGACTTGGACTTACATTTAGAGGGAAGAGTTTTGATGTTTTTGCAGATACTTTATTGGCTATTGCATTTATGTCAGGTTTCCAAATTAATATTTTGTCAAGAACCACAGTAACACCGCACTGATAACAAACAATGAGTAACAAAGGCAATGACAGAGAGGGTCAGGGGCAGAGACGGAGATGGACAGGGAGGAAGAGATGGAGACAGAGAGAGACAAGGACAGAGAGACGGAGAAACAGAGGGACAGGGGCAGAGAGACGATGAGAGAGAGAGAGAGAGAGAGAGAGAGAGAGAGAGACGCAGGGCAGCGACGCGCGTAAGAGAGAGACAAAGACAGACAGACACACACAGGGAGAGACAAAGGGTCGAAGAGGCAGAAAGATATAGAGGCAGAAAGAGAGAGAGAGGGAGAGAGAGAGACAGACAGACAGACAGAGACAGGTAGAGAGAGAAAGACACGCGGACGTTTTATTTTTCACAAGGATTGAATATGAAAAAACGCGGGCAACACTGGGTATTTTGCTAGTACTTTTATATATTTGTAGAATATTACAATACCATAGTGATTAATAATTAGTATTATATATTTTTCGATCTATTTGTTTGCCGAGGCTAACAGTATCGTATTATTTACTAACTTTTAATTACTTTACTTTCTCGTATACTCCCTTTTTTCTTGTCGCCGTCAGGCGGACCGCGTGTCTAAAGCACCCGAGATCGTCTGGCTCACACTCCTACGCACCTTGTACCTACGCGTACTACGCTCTCCGATGCAAACTGAATGAGAATGCGGGCGCAGATGGCGCCGCGTTAAATAGTTGGGACCTACACCCCCACCACACAAGTTTCCTAGGTAGGCTCGGCCTGCTGTCCCGCTATGCGAGGGCTCGCTTTGCCAGCATTTCTTAGGAGGGGCTACACCCCCACCACACAAGATTTCGTGTCCGAGAGCCAGCGAGGCGGCAGCCCGCGCGCACCGCCACTCCCTTGCCAAGGCGAGGGCGAGGCGAGGGCGAGGGGGCGACGGCGAGGGCGAGGGCGCGAGGGCGCGAGGGCGCGAAGGGGCGCGATGGGGCCGCGAGGGCGCTGAGGCGCGCGAGGGCGCGGGGAGCGCGATGGCGCGAGGGCGGCGCGAAAGGGCGCGAGGGCGCGAGGGGCCGAGGGGGCGCGAGGGCGTCGAGGCGCGAAGGGCGCAGAGGGCGCGGAGAGGCGCGAGGGCGCGAGGGCGGGGCACGGATGGCGCGAGGGCCGAGGGCGCGGAGGGCGCGAGGGCGCGAGGATGGGCGCGAGGGCGCGAGGGCGCGAGGCGCGCGCGAGGGGGCTGGAGGGCGCGAGGGCGCGAGGGCGCGAGGGCGCGGGGGGCGCGAGGGCGCGAGGCGGCGCTAGGGCGCGGGGGCTGCGCGAGGAGCGGCGCAGGCGCGCGGGGCGCGAGTGCGCGAGGCCGAGGGCGCGAGGGCCGCTGAGGAGCGCGAGGGCGCCGGAGGGCGCGCGTGGGCGCGGCGCAGGGCGACGAGGGCGCGGCGGGCGAGGGCGAGGGCGCGAGGGCGCGAGGGCGCGGGGGCGCGGGGGCGCGAGGGCGCGAGGGCGCGAGGGCGCGAGGGCGCGAGGCCGCAGGGCGAGTGTCCGAGTGACACAGACTTTCAGCTCGGAGCTCTGTGCGTGATCGATAGGGGGACAAGGCGGCGGAGGTCGCATCGTGTCTGCAATGTACAATCAAGTACTGCACCTTGGGGAAACACGAATGGGTACGGCAATTACTAAGTGTAAATATTTGTTTTTATATAGATATACATTTTAATGTGATTTTCAATTACATAATAAATATCATCATCATAAACAGCATAACTTCCATTGTTGATACATAATGCTTCAAAAATATT